TTAATAATATAATCATGTGGTGATCGGACCAAACTTTTAAACTTCAATGTAAAAATAATAATATACACTCACGCCCGCAAGCCCCCCTGGCTTGCGGGCGTGAGTGTATATTAGGCATTACAGTCCACATTCCTCCTTTTCCACTTCAACAAAAATAGACTATTTGTATACCTACATACATTTTCATTGGCAATGCGCACATCACTATTTCTAAATGTAGACTGTGAGTTGATTTTGTCAGGAAATTGAAAACGACGATAGTTTGCGAACACCATTATAGGCCAAATTTATTGGAAAAAAATTCGCTCAGAACATTCGAGCAAATATGGTTATGAAAAGCTATGAAGAGTATTATATTGAAACCAAGGTGAGTTACAACATTACCACATGTGTAAACAACGTATTACAGTTTATAAAACTCTTATGACATGAGATAATGAAAATTCATATGCATGCCATTGATTAGCACCCGAAATCATCAATATTTTAATATAACAGCAGTTTCGTGACTTTTTAGGGGTAGGGTACCCAAAAGGTAAAACGGGACCCTATTATTAAGACTTCACTGTCTGTCTGTCTGTCTGTCAGTACATCTGTCACCAGGCTGTATATTAGGAACCGTGATAATTATACAGTTGAAATTTTCACAGATAATGTATTTCTTTCGCCGCTATAACAACAAATACCAAAAAACAGAATAAAAAATATTTAAGTGGGGTTCCCATACAAACGACATGATTTTTGCCGTATTTGTAGATAATGTACGGAACCCTTCGTGCGCGAGTCCGACTCGCACTTGATCGGTTTTAGTTTTCCTCACTATTGCAGTATATTTTCATAAACTAGATATTACGATTCTTATCATTTCCCAAAAGGCCTGTATTCACCGCCACAGACCATTTTTTTTACCTGCCCATTCGTGCAACAGCGTAGACTGTTGCGTGGCCCTACCACCGTTTCTCGTTCGATTTAAAATATACATTTTTTTCACGAAAAACTCGCGAGCCCCTTTCAAACCAAAAATCTTTGATTATATACTTGTCAAATATTATACTTCACAAGTACTTATATAATGAAAGACAAAAATATTAATATCTGTAACCACGTTCCCTGTTACTGATTGCGGGTACTCCATATCAGCAAATGTCAATCCACTACATGATATTCCGTTTTTAACAATGGCTGATGGATTTCAAAGCACAAAGTGCGCACATTCATAAAGGCTATGAAAAAAAAATCGTATTGATTGCGTGAATAGAAATACGTATACCGTTACAATGAACGTTCATACTCAATAAAGCGATTAAGCGAAATACACGATCGTCTTATATAGCGAAATATTCCGAATTGTCAATAACGCTACAGGCTTCAATAATTCGAAAGCAATGCGGGGTCGTCTTATTACGAAATTAACGAAAAAATCAACCCGCTAATGGTTCCAATCGTTAGAGGCGATTAATCATCAAGCGTGGAATTGTATAGTACAAATATATAACAAAAAGGGCGCCGAATTGTATGCGAAAAAAATATTAACGAATCACATAATGACTATTGGATGATTATTAAATAACGACAACACCGCTCCTTAGATGTCATTTGAACGAATCTAAATAATTATGTTCTGGAGCTCAACGAACTTTTAACGAGTGAAAACCGCGCCGGGTCTTTAAATATAGAATGCGATTAAGAATTCCATACCTTAGTGGCGTAATGAAAAAAAAAAGCGACAGAACGTACAGAGGCACGACAACAACGTGAGAACGGCATTCCATAGTATCGTCAGGCTGTTTATAGGAAACTTTATACAGTTGCAGCACATAATTTGATTTCCTTTATTAATCTCTGTTTTTTTCTTAGTAAAGTTTATATGTATGACTATTTAGTATGCACATATGTTTGTACACACTCCCGGATATTATTTTATTTTTATAAATTTTCTTTAAGAAAAATCTCTTGGAAAAATTGCAGCAATAAGGAGGCCCTTTGTACAACCATTATTGTAACCTTTTTTAAATGTATGTTGTTAATGCTTCATTTTTCATGGTGTGTACAATGAAGTGTATAGATAAACAAAATAATATTCTGATAAAACATGTTTTTAATAATGTGTATTATGTGAAATAACATTATAAATAAGGTGTTATTAAAAAAAGGGATTAAATGTGTTTTAATGTAAAGCAGTTTGAAACTGGTAGTGTAATGTAAAATTCTCTTGAAATATTCTTCATACAAAAGCTTCAAAAGCCTCACCAATTATATGAAAAAGGAGAGTTAATCTACCTAACCTTGTACACAATGCTGACCCATCCAATTGTATGTGGCTTTATTAAATAACATTGAGTGAAATCTTTAATTCATCAATTGAAGATCAATTTCATTTGCTCTTTTTGTGATCAAGAAGTTATTCTAGCTTTGACCTGGATGAATTGCAACTTGATCTAAGAATAAAACATTCTTACAACTTCTAACAACAAAGATGAAGTGCATAAAATATTTTATGACAAAATAACTTTATCAATATCCAATTTGTTTCTGTATTGTCTCAAAAACAATAACTTGATCCGAGTTAATTAATATACCAAAGTAAATTTATGACTTTGTTACACAGAGAGATTTTAAAAGGATTTCAAAGAATGATGACTGATGTACAATATCGAAACTATATTTTTCAATATTATTTTTTCATAGTAAGGCTTGTTGTGCAGATCTTTTGCAAGTGCACAGAATTCCTTTAGTATCTGAATAAAAAAGAAACCATTATTAATATAAGGAGCTAGATGTGACACAAACATAAATTATATAAGAATAAAGCTAACATTATGGTAACACGCTAAGTATGAGAACACTTTTCTCTTAAAGTTTTCAATGCATATGCAAGCCTTCAGGTGTCTTAGATATCCATGGGAACTGCCTTCTTGCTTATTAATTTTCCCACAGAAAAGAAATGTTAATATGTTAAACATATTTAAAAACACCTCACATTGTAACTGTTGCTTAGAACATTAGATTGATATTATATACTTTTTGTTGTAAAGGTAAAGGTAACAATGCTTTGTAATGATGACTCACATAAAAGAAACCTTAATTATGTAAAAAATTAAGTAATTTTGAAGTTAAATAAACTGAAAAACTAAATGAACATGTTTGAGAAATAAAGAAATAAAAAAAGCATCAATAGAAAAGATTTCAGTTTTACTATGAAATTAATCATATGAAAATTATTCATACTCCCTCTTAATACTCTGATTTACTGAAGGAATACTAAGTAAAAGTTTTAAATCCAAAAGTTGCAGGCAACTTGTACCACAAGTGTAATTTTGATATTGGATACCAATACAGTATGAGAATTAAAACTTTATTTTACAAATTTAATTATAAATAACATTTTCAATATTTGTTACATAATTGCTATATTAACATAAATCTCTCATAGATTGCATATGCAGGGGCATAAAACTATTAGAGCTCTATATGTATGGCAAACCTAATTAAGGAATTTTAAAAAGGAATAAAAATGTTAATATTGGCGATATTAATGACATCATAGAAATAAGACTATAGGTGCCCAGAAAACAATTCTAATTACTTTGTTTGGGTAGTTTGCCTAATAAAGGTATAAGAAAATTTTAAATAATAACTAGATGTATTAGAAACATCATTTCAATCTTAGGATATCTTTTACATTTAGAGGGTTCACTTAACGTTTATTAAAAAAAAAATAATAAATACAATGAATTATTGCACAAAATATGCTACGCATCCTCATGAAGACTCAAAATTTCAATTTATGCTATCAAAAAGCTTGAAAGCTCAACGAAAGCTCGAAATATTAGTGCATTCGAAAAGTATAAAACTTCAACAATCTATACAAATATATTAGAAATTTGGAACGTTTCATTGTCAATCTTAAAAATATAATAAATATCCATTTTAAAATTTAACTACAAAAATAAATATTTATTGTAATATATCGATCGACTGTTTGTCAGACTGCGCTAAAATATGTTTTAAATGTACTTACTCTTAAGCCCCTCACAGTGCAAATGAACACTTAAATAATTAACATGTTATTTCTCAACCTGGTTTTAATAATCACATAAACATAACTCACTTAACACCACTTATTTTCCAAAAGTTTTTGGTTTTTCAAAGGAAAACAGTAAGAATGGCCAAAACGAAAAACAGAAGTGCCAAATTGGCGGCGCCACTGTCGCCAGAAAATACAATGCTTTGTCAAATTAATACATTGCCAGTGAGAAAAAGAATGCTTACTTGGTGTTTTATTTATATCTCATTCTACTCAAATTCAGTCGCATTTTGCAATTTGTTTTTTTCTTAATACTGAAATGATAAAATATAACTTTTAACTCAGAAAAGAATTTCAATTAATTCCTTCATTATAATTTTAGGCTATATAAGGATCAATTGTTTTGATTTTAAGCAACAATTATATATTATATTAGGGAAATATTTTGAAAACCTACTACAAGAATGAACATCCGATAACATTGAAAATGTATGAAATGAATGATTAAAGAAAAAAATAGATAAAATAAGTCTTCGAATAATCTTTATTACTAATACTTTATTTAGGTACAATACAGGAATAACGCCTATTACTTAAATTACAGACTCAAATCATAAATAGGATGTTTAAAAAGAATAAAAAGTAAAATTGCGTTATAATACTTACTTAAAAAAGAGTAGGTACTTCATTGTTGTTTATCAGTAGGTACAGTCACAGAAATTACACAATATACAACATTGCAATAATTATCGGAGGTTACTTTAATATTTTAATACTGTCTGGATGCAAATTATCACAAAAAAAATGAATTTATTATATAGTTCTATTCTCTTCATTATGCTTTCTAGCTTTTGTTTTAAAAAATATAATTCATCTATTTCCCTGTAGGCATTAACAATAAAAATATTGGTCCAAAATATTTTATTTGCAGAGAAACTATGTTAAACCTTTAACTAATTCTTATAAATATCTACGCAAAATCTACCCCCGTGTCAAGAAGATCCCTGATTAGTATTGTAGCCTTTCTAGGCAATATTCTGAGAATATGACCAAAATATAGCAATTGTTTAGGAACAGATGCCTCTGGGTAGTTGCGTCGTACACTATCCAAGATTGACCTAGCTGCATTTTCAGGAGTGATTGTTCCGAAATAACTAGAAATCCTGAAAGTGAAATTAAAAATTTATTCTCTTTATTTTAAAGATTTTTTTAACTTTTTTTTTTACATTTATTTGACATACCTTAATCGTAAATCTGAACTTTCTTCAACTATAAATGGATAAATATGGGTAAGAGTGACATATACACCATCAGTCTTGTTTATTCTTAAATGCTCCATCAACGATTCAGCAAGTCCTTGAACAGCAAACTGCGCTACACTGAAAGGCATCTGATCCTTTATGTAACTTAAGCCAGCAACAGAAGTCAATGCCACAATATGGCCATGGTTCTTTGCTTTCATTTCAGGCATGAATTGCTCGATAAGCTGAGGAAAATATTAAACAGGTGGTTAAGTGTAAAATTAACCAACAAAATCTAAAGTTTAATTCTTAATGTAATGTGAAAATTGTTTAAATTATATTATAATTGAAATAGTGCAATAATTAATGTCACCTATTAGTATGTAAGACTGTTACCCAGAAGTATGAAGTCAAAGTTAAGTCTAATGTTTCATGAATATCTTGTGGAGGCTCAGTCATCAGTGAACGTGGACTTGGAATTCCGCAACAGTAAAACAGCATGCTCACAAATCCAATATCTTTCTTCACTTTCTCTGACATTGCAGTAACATTTTCCTTTTTTATTATATCACATTCGTAAATGTATGCTGTACCTCCTTTGCTCTTAATTGTTCTAACTGTGTCCTCATTGTTAGCAACATTTTTATCCACACACAAAACTGTTGCACCAAGCTCTGCTAATTGTATGGCTATCTGACGGCCAACTCCTCTCCCTGATCCAATAATCTGTAAGTAGGTTAAAGTTTATTTTTATTACAAATTCATATTTATATTATAACAAACATGCTATTTTAAACATTGCAAGTATGGTTGTAATGATGGTATTAGACTTGAAAATGTTATAAGTAACAGGATTGAAATCCAGTGATAATAAATAATGGAAATCAAAACTTTGTGCAGAACAGGGTGATATTTTTCTACTGAAATACTATTGATTTATACTGTTTTTAGATTTTGTAACAAACAACTTTGTTTTTAACTGTATTTCTCTTGCCCATTAGCTATATTGCATGCCATCAGCACCTATAATTGTAATGGCTCTAACAAACAGTTGATATAATATTTAACTATTTTAGTCTTAAATAGAGTACATCATATTGGTAGTCATTAAATAAACATATGACTTCAAAACTACATAACTTAAAAGTAAATAACTCACCAATGCTGCCTCAAGCTGCAAAGATTTTAAGGGAGGTGGATTAAAAAGACCATAAATGGCTTGCAGTATTGCATAATTTGTGTTTACAACAACCCATACAACATCGACTACTAAAATACATAAGGAATAAGTCTTTAGCAGCACTTTTATTGGAAACATAGGGTTTAAAACAGTTCCTATTGTATTCCCCATTAGTTGTGTTCCCTGAAACATACAATAAATTGATCTTCATAAAACAGCATATCAATATACAGCGTGTCGTTACCATCGCGACAATAAATGAACACACGTCTGACGCATAAAAATCAATAATCATAAAAAAATATTAACGTTAAACAAAATCCATAATTAAAAAAAAATATTTTTCAAACAAACGAATTAAGTAAAAAAGAAACAAAATTTGTAACATCCTATACAACTCGCGCCACACCGTCGCGTTATAAGCCTCTCCTTCTAACAGTATGTTTTGTCTCTTTTAAATTCATTCAACCCATTCATATGCTTTGTGACCTTTACAAATGAACTTTACGTTACAGTTTTATACGTAAGGGTGTTCTAAAATTGTTTGTTTTGGAAAATTTTATAAGTCGGTAAATATTGATGTCTAAAGAATGTAAATGTTTAATACAATTTTAAAAAGTTATCCTCTATATGTGTGTTCATTTATTGTCGCGGTGGTAACGACACGCTGTATGTATATATATATATATATATATATATATATATATATATATATATATATATATATATATATATATATATATATATATGTTCCATGGGTATGTTTACACAGTTGTCAGATATGACAACAGGCCATAAGTTCGGTTTTAATATCCGAAAATTTTATTTGTACCACCTGTAGATGTGGTGGGATCTAGATTTTTATATTTGTCCAATTTCATGCACAAATTAATTAAAAAAGTATAATAAAGGAAAAGAACAATAGCCTAAAAGTAACGAAAAAATACCTAATCCCTTTCCATCTCAATATTCCTCTTGTTAAAACTGAAAAACACTATTTCATTTTAATATCTATTGATGTAAAATTTTCAAGTTCTGCTGGAAAGACTTCGTATTGTTTATAATGTTAATTTACGGTATTTAAAAATATAAGGCTATTTTAAGTTATAGTAAAACTCACAAACTTTAATACAAATTCCATTTTGTACAAAATAATGTGATATACATAAGATGAAAAAATTGAAGAATGAGTGAAAGATAACTACCTTATTAGAATATAAAATGTAACTGATCTAGTTCTATTGCCCAGAACTTGGTTGCATCACAACGACAATTAACATTACTGATAACAGTAGCTAAGGTTTTTATTTTGATAATGAGAACATTTCATTGATAATTTATTTGACATTTTCATTGTGACATCTAATTTGGAGATAAAAAAAAATGATAGAATAGATACAGAAATACGGTGTTGTTGTTGCCAGAATAACTTATGGCTGGAAAACTATAATAAACTAAACTTTTTGATTTTTAGTGTAACATTAGTGTAGAACCAACGCTATTATCCTGGTGGCTATGACAGACAGCTCCGTCGGAAGAGGACAGCTGCCAAAGAGTACTTTTATATATTCTGAAATGATGACAGCTGTTACTGGTTGGTAGATCACCTACGGATTTAAAAGAGCACAATGTAGTACAAGGCGAAATGATTACGCCATTCTCTCCGCTGCAATTCTTCGACCCCTGTAGACTATACTCTATAGTTGGAAGTTGGAAAATCTATGTGCAAGATACCATCCAAATCCAAGGGTATATGCGTAAATTTTTTGACAGCTTTTTTTTTCATCCTCAGTGTTGACTGTGAGCTTTTCGTAGATTTAAATTAGCGCGGCACTCAGCGGTCCGAGCAAAAAAGCAGTAACATTTCGTTTGCATTTCGCTCAACACTTTCTTTCACTTCACTTGCATTTTTTTTAATTATGGCAACGCTTAACAGTTGTCAAATTTTTTTATATTCCATCCCTGGCCAGTGGCCTGCATCATTTAACATTATAAATAACATGATTTATACAGCTTTATAATTTTTAAATTTCATTACATTGTATATATTGCAGTTAATATTTAACTAGATTATTCAAAATGGCATTTGTTTATCAAGGTGATTCAGACTTAGAGAATAAAGCTAGAAAAGGTGAGTTAAAAATCAAATGTTTAAGAAATCAATAATTAATTTGACTCATATGTTTCATTCAATTTGTTATCATTTTCATTTATTTTTATGGTATTATTTCAATATACAATTAAAGAAGTTTAATTTTTTTATTCATATAATTCTTGGTATTAGTTTCCTTAAGTTTCCGGGTGTTTTTCGAAAAAAATGTAATTAGATACAGAAAAATCATTAATAAAACACTCACAGTTTTTGAAGTCAAATTGGTAAAATGGTGAAAATTACGTACTTTCTTAGTGAAAATTACGTTTTAAATATTTTTTTCATCTCGAAAACTATATAATTGTTGATTTTTTCATTAGTCATTTTTCTTAATCAAATTAAATTTTTGTTTGGTCGAAAACACCCGGAAACTTATGGAAATTTTTACTTAATTCTTTAACACTTTGTTTGTAGCTGCTGAAAGAATATCGGAGAATATGCATATAGTAGCAAATGAGCCGTCTCTAGCACTGTACAGATTACAAGAGCATGTTAGAAAAGCTTTACCCCCAATGGTCGAAAGAAGAGTGGAGGTGACAAAATTACAACATGAGTTACAAGGAAGATGCTATGATGTTGAATATGCACTAAGGTAAAATCATTGGTTTTGTTTTGCTTTGTAGTTTCACGAATATATGTATGAACTATGAATTTCCTAAAAATTTAATGCTAACTGTGGACAAAAGTTATTATAAAAAATAAGACCCGGATAAGCTTTTAGAGATGCTTTGAATATCATAATTTTAACTGAAAATACAGTTTTAAATTGTTCATAATTTATATGAAATAATTGTATCGTTTAAAGCATTGTTATACATAAATTTCAGTGCGGTCAAGTCAATGGATGGAGCTACAGCAAGTTTCAAGAACATAACTGAGATGTTGAAACAATCTATCTATTTAAAACAGCAGTTAAAATATGAAGAGAATAGGCGAAATAAAAAAGATACAAATTCTGTCTATAAACGTCTCTCTGCTCACATTGTTTTAGATTTACCAGACCTATCTGACTTCTCTATGGTTCGTGAAACCACTAATAGAATAGAAAACATGATGGCTCATGCCCGAGGCTCCACTAATGAATTGCAGAGGTCGCACACTACATTGCATTAATATAGTGTTATATATAGTACCCGGAGGACTGAGCTTTGCTCGGTTTGTTTTTTGTTTTGGTAAATCGTGTGTTTTGGAAATATATATATATATATGTATATGTATATATGTATGTATATATATATATATATTCCATTTACCCACTGCTATATTCAAACATTGCTTGATTAGGTCTAGAAAGGAATTCATTTAGAGATTAATTGGTGATTATGACATGATGGGTAATAATTTTCCCATTTGTAATCACTGTTCTAAAATATCTGAGGCCTAACCATTATTGTTGAGCATATTATTGCATATTACAACTATATTTATATCAAAGAATATGACTGATTAAATTTTTCCTCGAGGAAAGTAAGTATAATTCAAAAACTTTATCTAAGAATTGAAAAAGTTAATGTTTTAGAAAGGCAGTCCAAGGTTCACCCTTACTTTTTGTTCCTTAATTGATTTAAGTATGTATAACTTGCTTTTGTGTTTTTATCACCTTGTACCTATTTATAAGCTCACTTATATATTACAAACAGCTTACAGCAGCTAGTAATTTAAGTGACTGTACAATGCGTACGGACATATGACAACTATTTATGCATATTAATATTCTTGCTTTATAATACTTACAAGAATTTTGACTTCCTATTGACGATCTATTCTATGCTTTTTTCGTATTTTAAGTATTTCATCAGTTAAGGATTGCATATATAGAATCCTAAATGCCTGCCAAATATATATAAAAATTTTCAAAATTTTAATGCAAAGACTAATTTTACACTGTCATTATTAATTCACTCCCGTTGTTTCTTGTATTTTCGCAATTACACATTACTAAATAAAACTATGTTTAAGGATGTATCACGTTTATTTTTAGGTTTAATTCCCCATGCTTCGAACCCTTCAAAACGTTTATGTTAAAAAACTGACAGTAGCCCAGGTTAACTATTACATTCAGACATCCAACCCCTCAGTTTCACCTGTGACCATGAAAGCTGTTTAAGGGTTCGAAACATCGAGAATTATAAGTAAAAATAAACGCGTTAAATCCGTAAACATCGTAGCATTTAGTCATTCCAGGTGTTTGAAATGATTTTTCAACGAGGTGTGCTATAATAATTTAACCTAGTATCGTTTGCAAATCATTAATAAGAATAATATTTAAGCAAAAATACCAGTATTTAACCGTCTAGTCAGTAATAAATTTACCAAACACTCATTGTACAAATAACTTTATTCATAAAATAAATGGGTACAATTATATCGCTTCTGTTTTCATTGCCTTGGGAAATAAGCGGGAGCTTATTTTTAACTATAAGCTTATTAAAACTTAACCAATGCCTGCTTCAATTATCTTAAAAAGCTACTTGTTATTTTGTTTTGACAAATGGCTCTAAACTAAAACAATTATTGCTCTTGTAAGCAACTCCCACTAATTGTCTGCTTCATACTCACCAATCTTTAGTACAGATTTTATGGAATTAAGTTTAATAAGGGTAGCTTGAAACTATATTGAATAGAAATTTTAATTTAGCTATCGCTGGAATATAACGGACCATGGCAGCTCTTTCAACTTGGTCATATTATATTTTTGTTCAAACCCAATTAGCGTATTAATGGTCGCCCTCTCCGGTCTAATTTTTTTGTCTGATATGAACATGCCCTTTATGATTTCGATGGGCTTAGGCACTTTAACAGCGTGCCGTCTTTCGTTCACCAATATCCAATTGTACACGTAATCTATGGGAATGGCCGAAACTATGTACGAGTAGACAGTCTTGTTCTCAGACAGGAGGCGCTCCAGTGTCTCAAATATCGTCATCCAATTCAGGCCGTAGTCCATTATTTGAACGTTCACAAGGACCTGAAAAACATTAGATAATTATGATCAAGAGTGAAGAGTAGAGTAAAACTACAATGTCATACGTGGCGGAATGACATCCGGTATTGAAATGTACGACGCGATCGACAATGCACAGAAGAAAGGTGTGCGCAACATCTGCTGTTGCATGAATACGCAGGCTCGTCCGGACAAGTACTCTTACCACGGCCTCACAGAAAACTGACCTGAAGTGGAAGTTATTATACTTTCGGGTTTCGTCTGTGAGTGTACGAGAGAGGTGACCGGAGTCACTTTCTTTAAGGTAGAACCACACCTGCAAGCCCCTCAGGTGCATGTTCACGCACGTCGGTGTCCACTTAACATCAGGCGGACCATCTGCTTCCTTGACAACTTTTCACATTAAAAAAGCATGCTTAATAGTTTTCTTACTGTGGTAGAGGCACGTAGCGTCTTTGGATGTTGCGTTAATGGGTAACTAGATCAGCACAATACACAGCCTCACATATTGACACCTTAAAGGAAATGTATTTATCACTTTTACGTCTCATCTGGTGTATGAGGAATCCGGAACACATCCTACTAAAGTTTGGCAATGCAACTAAACTTAAAAATTGTCTTGGAGAATGTAGATGGACATCCATGGACGGTAAGCACCTAATCTGAATACCTACCGAAATCTAAAATATATAATTGCGAATCATCACAATTTAGCAACTAATATTTTTGCTATCATAAGCCAGTTTATAGTAGATGTGTTTAATTGTGGTTTTCAAAAATATAAATATTTAGCAATGGCAACATTAATTGTAGTTGGGACTTGTCAATAGTAGAATTTAGCGGCGCGTAAGTCGCAGACTTACGCGCCGCTCATAAAAATTTTCTATATAAATTCGTTAAAAAGTAGTTTAAATGAATTTTTACAACCTCTCAGATTCACCTTAGTAAAAGTTGTAAAGGTTCATTATCATGATATAAAATTAGTAGCTTTCCGTTTTAACTTACATCCGACATGTCGTTAATGACAAAAAGCCTGAAATATCTATTGAGCATATCTTCGACGTTTATCTCGTCCTTTAAGTGGAGTGCTACCGTGAATCCTTTTTGGCTGTATCGCGCCACCAACACGTCCACGTTATCCAAATCGTAAATGAGACCGTTCACTAAGATGGCCAGGCGATTCGTCATTGGCATGTGACTTTCCACGCTAAAATAGTTAACAATATTTATTTTTAAAGAAAGATCTAGCATATTCCTTTTCGATGTAAGCTTTAGATTTGTACAAAGACTACACAATTATTTGAGTGCCTGTTGCTAATATTGGGAAGAAAAAATATATGAAATAAATTACATACACACCGCCAAATAAATGTTTGGCATTTAAGTAATTTTGCCTTTCCAGTGACGATAGGTACTAAGCAAAATGTAAGTTACTTACTTAAAATTGTGAACTGCACTGAAAAATCTTATGAACTGAGAGAAAAATAATTTTCTCTTCTGTCACTTCTGTTTTCATAATGAATCACAAAACTATTATCTTAAGATACGAAAGGATGTTAAAAATATGATCCACATTTATTCCGTCGCAACGCTGACCACACGAGACCGATAAAGGGAGAACTATCCAAGTACGAAACGAACCGACTCACCTGCTCGAGCTGATGTAAATCGCATGCCCCCTTTTCGCCAGCTGCCGCAGTATGTAGTACATGGCGCGCCGGACAGAGTACTTCTGGTAGGCGGTGAACTCGTCCAGCACGAGGATGGGCGGTGCACCGACGACCGCCGCGGCGAAATGTACCCGAGTGCGCACCGTCGAATGCATGTCGCCGACGAACGTTCCCATTTCGGCGTGCAGTTCTGCACGGTGGAACAAGCTTTGCAACATGTAAGCTATGTGACAAACAACGTCACGATAGCAACAAACAACGTCACGATATTCAAATATGCTCGGTAATTGTTGCATCTTTTGGATCTCGACAACACCGTACATGATATGGTTTGTATCGTTCTTGAATTACACACACAACAACAGTCAACTGTCATCGGTGCATCGGTACAGTCACTTACCCAACGAGGAGGGTCATATAGGAGGCTCTTAGAGTTCTGCGTTCGATGAAGCTAAGTGAAGGCTTCTGAGTTGGGTTTCATTTTTCGGTTCGAATATCTATATTCAGTCATCAGATCAATCATATCAATCTATATAGACACAACAACAGTCAACTGTCATCGGTGCATCGGTACAGTCACTTACCCAACGAGGAGGGTCATATAGGAGGCTCTTAGAGTTCTGCGTTCGATGAAGCTAAGTGAAGGCTTCTGAGTTGGGTTCCACTTTTCGGTTCGAATATCTATATATGTGTAATCATACATAAGATATGCTCTTTCGTGATCGTAGTTCAGGGTGTATATATCCCACACAACAAACATCATATTAGTATTATTATATTTGTTGTGTGGGAGCCCCACTGAATATTTTTTTTCCGGTTTTTTAGTATTTATTGTTATAGCGGCAACAGACATACATCATCTGTGAATAGGTTTTTACTGAGCTAGCGCGCCACTTTACCATCAACGGCTGCATCGCCACTTACCATCAGGTGGGATGGCAGTCAAGTGCAGGCCAGTTCTGAATTAAAAAAAAATAATCTGTGAAAATTTCAACTGTCTACCTCTGACGGTTCATGAGATACAACCTGGTAACAGACAGACAGACAGCGGAGTCTTAGTAAAAGGGCCCCGCTTTTCTCTTTGGGTACGGAGTCCGAAAAAAACTAGAGGTGGCATTTTCAAAAAATAAAATAATAATACCTAGGGCATCAATGTAGTTCATCACTTCGCTTTTTGCGTACGTTTCTGGCACACCGCGCAGTATAGCGATTAGCTTCAGGGCTTCAAACACAGTCATCCAGGGAGGCAGAGGGTTTCTGTCCGAACATAGGGCAACCTGGCTGGCGTACTGCAGGCGCAATGCGGGATAAATATATTATAAACAAAAGCTTATTATTGTAGCAAAAAATATTAAATTAAAACAGACCTTTTTATGCGAAAGGTTGACCTGTTGTTAAGTGATTAACGCCGCCCATGGAATTCTCCAACCCCTGAGAGTTTCAGATGCCTTCCTCACCTTTAAAAAAGTGGGGCCGGTTACCTTACTCACCAGACGAAACGCGAAAGTGTAATCACTTCAACTGTGATAGGGCCACGTAGCAGCCTCGCCTGTTGCACGAGTGGGCAGGCTCGTCCGGGTAAGTATCACGACCTCACAGAAGACCGGCGTAAAGTGGAAGTATAATATTTTCGCGTTTCGTCTGGTGTGTGAGTTGGCCGAAGCCCAATTTTCAAAAGGTTGTCACGCATCTGCAACCTTCGGGCAGTTGTCTACTAGTACAGTTGTCTAGTATAAAAAAAAAACGCTGATTCTGTGTAGGTGAGGATGTGGTAATATCCTGGACGTGACTGCCCATCGTGGAGCAGTGGAGAGCTGTTGCGTAGATCACTGTACAGTAACATTAAATACTAAAACCAAGAAGCTTATACACACTCACCGGGTTTGACACATATAATAAAGTTCTATTACATACAAATTAAGGCTATATTAAAATACATTACCTACAACAAGTTTCATACCTTAAATCATACAGTAATACTTAAATCATTCAATAGACTATACAACACACTTGTCAATAGTTATGTATATATAACATAATAAAAAAAAATAAAGTTGTTCATAAACACACATTAGATCACAATAATTTGGAAGATTTTTTTCATAATGATCATCCATAACAACGATTTCCTGATACCAAAGGATGAACCGCGATTTATTGATTCACGTTTTTTTTTATGGGAGGATTATGTTGAGCTATAACCGCCGCCCAACATGTCCTTGGATAGAGATATGTTGCCACTTTTTAAAAGCAGGTCCCATTTACCTCACCCATAAGACGGAATATAGAAATGTAACACTTCCACTTCACAAGGGGCTTCAGATGTCGCGTTACTTCCCCATCTGAGCCTGCCTAACGGTGCTACAGCAAAGAGTGCTGCAACAATTATTTCTATATTAATATTATATATATATATATATATATATATATATATATATATATATATATATATATATATATATATATATATATATATATATATAAGAATATTTTTCAGTGATTAGGATGACACAGCAATCAAAACACAATTGAGTTTCTCTGTAATTAAAGATTTATTGTAAGATTTTGAAACTATAACAAATATTAATTAAAATAACAAAAATAAAAGATTTTACTACTAAAACTTTACCTGTAATTAAAGAAACGACATTTAATGTTAATAATCACAATGTCGATTCCTAAATCACTATTTTACTTATTAAATATTTTTGTAATAAGATTATTTTCATGAATTGTTTCATATGACAGCTTAATTCTTTTTCTATTATAATCCGGCGTCAAACATAGTTTTTAAAATAAATTTTATCAACGGCCGGTGCGTGAAAATATTTAAATTAAAGAAAATATTTAAATAAAAGAAAATAATATTTTTCTTTACATCTCCCCCTCCCAGAGAAGATAAAACATAACGACTACCTACACATCCTCTTTATGGTCTCTCAAGCATAGCAAGGAGTTAGTTTCGAGATATGGAAATAGTTTGACTCTAATTTCTTACAGTCAGTGTTTATCTTGTAAAAAAATTAAATTAATTAAAAAATGTTGATATTTTTTCTATAATTTTGTAGGGTCCGATTCTCAGTTCATCAAGCTTTTTCCTATTCAATTTGTTTCCATTGTCCACAAAAACAGCATCATCAACTTTGAATTCTATATGTCTTCGATTTTTATCGTAAATTTTCTTGTTGTAATTATGTGATTTCATTGTATTTACCAGAGCCTTTTTCCTGTCTTGGATCAGATCTTGCCCGGTCTTCTTACGTTTTAGTTCATTAGGCAGAATTGCAACATCTGTGCCGTTTAAAAGATACTTTGGAGCATAACCAGTGACAGTGTGCTCCGTTTCATTATAATTTTTTACACACATTTGTGCTATTGTTGCCCATGCAATTTTAGTGTCTTTTTCGTTTATCTTACATCTTATTTTATTGACCAACGTTTGATTTAGTCTTTCGTTTAAAGCATTTGAGAAGGGCGAATTCACTGCAGTAAAAATTATTGGAATATTCTTTTCATCCAAAAATCTTTTGAATTCCTTGGAATTTATACCTGGATATTGGTCTGAGAGAATCATGCCGATATCGTCTGTTTCTGCACAGTTTTTCACTAGTTTGATGAAATCATTTGCATTTTGAGTACTTGATGTTGAAATGTATGCATACCTAGTGAAATGATCTGATAGCAGGTGCAAGTATCTCTTTGTCGACCTTGAACCCCCAAAGCCTCCAATGGTATCAATGGAACATATCTCAAAGGGTTTTGTAGCGGGGCTCAATTGGGACATCAATCCATATTTATTTTGTCCTCTGGACTTATTCTTTATACATACTATACAACTTTCGCAGATACTTTTTATTTTTTTTGTCATGTTTTCTGCTGTATACAATGAGCTAATCATTCTTTGCATTTGATTAAGTCCTAAATGACCTAGGTTTGTATGTACACTTTTGATTAATCCTATACCAAATTTCTCAGATAGAATTATTTTTTCCCTTTTCTTAACTTTCTTATAATAAACATTATTTTTTTTCAACAATTTTTCTTTTATGGACTGTATATTACTATTGTTAACTTGATCTTTTAGGATATCCTTTAGTTTAATCATGTTAACCACTTTTAATTGTTCATCCAGGTTTTCATTTGGTTCTAAGACTGGATTCCTGCTTAGACAATCAGCTTCAATGTTATATCTTCCTGGAGAGTATTTAATTTGGAAATCATATTGTGATAGGTAGTAAGTTAAATCTCCTAATTCTTCATCCGTTCTTGACTTTATATTCATATATTCCAAAGGCTTGTGATCGGAGAAGACAGTGAATTTCCTACCTATCAACATATGTTGCCAATACTTTACACATTCTTTAACTGCTAAGCATTCCAGATATATAGCTTTTTTCCTTTTTTGAACTTCGTTCAATTTTTTTGAAAAGTATGCTACTGGTTTCTCTTCTTTGTTTTCTTGTGGCTGTTTTAAGACTGCTCCTACTCCCAGTATACTGGCATCTGTGTATATGTGAATTGGCAAGTTATGATCAAAAATGGTTAATATTGGTTGAGAGCATAATATTTCTTTCATCTCATCAAATGACTCTTGGCATTCCTTAGTCCAGTTAAAGATTTGTCCTTTTCTCAAAAGGTTATGCAATGGTTCTAATTTTAGTGCTATGTTTGGCACATACTTGTGACAAAGTTTATTTTCCCTAAAAATTGTCTCACATTTTTTTGCGATTTTGGAATAGGGAAGTTTTTTTCAAATTAGTAAATCAGTCATAGTTTGTGGAGATTTTAATGTGGATTTATTACAAGTAACACAACTTAGTAAGCGGCTTTTAAATTTATTTAATTCATTCAAACTTAAAAATCTTTTTTATGAACCAACTCGTGTTACTAACTTATCCTCCACATGTATCGATAACGTTTTTTGTCACAATGAAGTATATGACAAATCTATTATAAATTATCTGAGCTCTGATCATCTTGGTTTAAAATTTTCAATAAATGAAAACATTACTACAAGTGATATTAAGATCAGGTGTAGACCAGTCACTGCTAGGAGACTAAATTCTTTTAAAGATAAAGTAGCACAGCATGTATTCCATAAAGATATCGGAGTCAATAACCCTAATGATTAATGATTGTTATAGATCAATGGTTGATTTTCTCATAACTTCCTATAATCATATTTTTAAACCCCGCACAATTGTTAAAAAATCAAAATTAAAATTTAGTGACTGGGCAACAGTGAGTATACATAAAAGTAGGGATTCACTGTATGAATTATATAATATGAGGCAGTGGAATCACGACCCTAATTTCCATAAACGGGTACAAAATTTTTCAAAAATATTTAAAAAAGTCTGTATACATGCAAAATCTATCTACATAAGAAATAGGATTTTAAATTCTAGTAATAAAATAAAAGCTACATGGGACATCATTACCTGTATATCTGGAAGACCCAAGATATTCAGGGAACCTATAAAGCTAGTGATAGGCAATACACCCATAACTTCAGATAACGAAATTGCAAGTAGTTTTGAAAGTTATTTTTCAGAAATTGCAATTAATGTTACATGCACGTTAAAATCCTCTCCCATTGATGCAATTAATGTATTAAAAAATAATGTTACCTATTGTCGACAAACGTTTAAATTTAATCACATAGATACTAATGATATTATAAAAGTTTTGAATTCTATTAATCTTAAAAATACAGGAGATTTGTGGGGCATGTCCATAAAATTAATGAGTACAATAATGCCGTATATTGCACCATATTTGGCAAATATTTTTAACAAATGTATAGATTCTGGAATATTTCCTGATTTTCATAAATTCAGTAAGATAATCCCCGTTTTCAAAAGTGGGGATAAAAATTATCCAGGAAATTACAGACCTATCTCCATATTGCCATCTCTGAGTAAAATTTTTTGAAAAACTAATTTTAAATCAACTCTTAGTACATTTTAATATGAACAAAATTTTCCACAATGAGCAATATGGATTCACTAAAGGCAGATCGACAACGGATGCGGGTGTCGCACTTGTCAAGCATATTTATAACGCCTGGGAAAGGTCACAAGATGCAATAGGTGTCTTTTGCGACCTTTCAAAGGCTTTCGACTGTGTAGACCACGAAACCCTCCTTCAAAAGTTAGATTATTATGGCATTCGTGACATCGCCCTCAATCTCATTGCCTCTTACCTTAATAATAGAATTCAAAAAGTATCTATAAATGATGTAAATTCCACAGGGTCCCCCATGAAAATGGGTGTCCCACAAGGATCA